ATCAAATAAATCCAAAGACATTTGCACATGGAGGGAATCAATAAAGCACACAGACCCACTGGGAAGTCACAATATATATAATTTTTGCAATGATATTGCAGCAGCAATCGCAATATATATGCATTGCAATTTGCATTGATAGTGCTGTTTGTAATTCGGTGGCACGCAACGTCAGGGATCCCCTGTGGTGACAGCCATGGACAAAACCACCCTGCAGATGACATTATTTGAGAATTACTGCCTCGCTTCCCATCCGGACACTGCAGGAGGGAGCATGCAAACGCTTGCGCAGGCATATCCTTCCTGCATCCTTCCCTTCGCACGGGTTTTTTCTCCCCGCCGGAGCATGCTGCCCACCTTGCCCTCTGCTCCCCGGCTGCCTTGAGCACGAACCAAGAAGGGAAACTTTGCAAAACCAAAGCATCGCCGTTAGAAACAACGATAATCACTATAGCCATGCAGATACCTGGATTATTATATTTTAACCCACTAAGCACACGATGTTGCACCAGGAAGGAGATATCCTTTGCTTTTTTTTTAAAAAGAAAAAGTTAAATATCTAAATGCACAGCAAACCAGAATGGGGGGCAGATGTCTGCTGCCATTTCCCACCTCTCCAGCCCCTCCCAGTAGCAGCTCGGCGGCCTCGAGCCGATCCAAGCTGGCATTTTGTACCGAAGACCAACTGCAGCTGAAGACCTTTATCTCCATCCCTCGGCAGTGCCTTGGGACTGCCCTGGAAAGCCACAGCTGAAATCTGCCCCAGACCCATCCAATGTAGGCTAAGGAACTCCTGCGTCTTCATTTTCAACCAGCGAAAGGGTGAGCGGGACGTCTGCTGTCAGCGAGGGCCAGCCATAAATTTTCCCATCCAAGCCATCCAAGCAGCCAGAGGAAATTTATGTCCATCAGAGAGAAAAAAAAATAAGCACTCTAAAGCACAAATCCTCAGGGATTTCGCCTCGAACTCCCAGGGGCTGTACAATGCTTATGAGCCACCTGGGAGGACGGGGAAATAAAAACCATTCATCATTTGCAGCTTTTCATATCCTCCCGCACCACTTAATCAAACCCTTTGTTTGTATTTCTCCTGTCCCCACGAGTCCCCGGGGGAGGCACCTCCCTGCTGCAGCAAAACCACGCGAGGACACGCAGTCATGCAAGGGCAGTCTGATTATTTGTCTGTTTTAAGCCCCAATTACAAATGCTCATTTAATCCCAGAATTTTCCCATAGCAAGTCCCTGCTATTGGAAGACCCTTGAGTTTTCCCTATGCAAACCAGCAAAAGCTCAAAAAGCAAATTAAAAACCCGCTATTTTGTTCCTGAGCTTGCAATTATTTCTAGCCAGCTGAGAGCAGTGACACTAATCGTAACTGGGTGCTGTATCGTGATTAAGCTATGGGTGTTGGCCTGTCTGGCTGACCAAGGGCACCATCCCGCTGCTGTTCCCAACTCATTGCTCCAGAAATGAAATACTTATTGCCCCGACACCCCAAATGTCTCCCTTCATCCCCTGCTATTACTCCAAGGCTTTTCCATGCAAACATCACCGGCTGCTACCAAGCATGCACCGGCTCCGGAGGTCGTTGCCCATTTGTGCGGCTGTAAAGCTGGATCCTGCTAAACCGAGGAGGTGAATCATTCCAAGCTTTCCCAGAACTAATGAAGTAAAAAGCAAGCATTTATCTTTTATTGGCTTTTCCTTCCATAAATTGATATTTATAGACCAGGCTCTGGTAGAGGTCATGGACTGCAAATGGAAAAATCCCTTTTATTCCCCTTTTCTACTACATTAAGCTCGTGTCAGCCGCTTGAGAATATATCGCCTTCCGGCCCCTGGAGCAACTTAGATATTAAAAAGCAAACAAAATACAAATTAATCTTGCAAAGGAAAAGGGAACTTTGGCAATACAAAGCCCTTTACACAAGGAAACATTTAACATTACTGTCACCAAGAGATGAAGACGCCAACCTGCAAAACGCCTGTTGCAAGTCTAATGCTGCATTTTTGAGGATTGAAATAGTTGATCTTCTGGATTTATACCCTTAAGAGGGAACATCTACCTCTACACCGATGCCCTATTACTCTGTAGCTGCTCCCAGCGTAGAGCTTTGGAGATTGATGAAATATCAAAGCGAAACGGAGGCAGCAACAATTTACTGCGAGTCGGCTGCGCTGCAGAGTCGATAGATATTAACCCTTGGCAGTGACCTCTCAGCAATTTTTTCTTTTTAATTGGACTTATGCCACTTTCTGCTTCTTTAGGATGGAGAAAAAGTGTTGAAGAGCTTTTTTATGCATTCGTTTCTACCTTATTACAGTGGCTATGTCTTCACCTTGCTGAGGAGGATGAAATACCATCAGAAAACATCCCCTGCAAAGCCACGGGGATGGAAGAGTTGGAGATGCTTTTCCTGAGGTCAATATAAAAGCTGCTGAAAGAGCACCTGGACATGGCAAAGGGGAAAGAGCAATGCACAAGGTTACCTGGCTTATTTTAACTACAAATGTGTTTTATGCACGCTGAAAACTCTTTGGATAATCTTGCTAGAGGCAGAGAAGGTAGGGATGCAGCCAGAATAAAACAAATTTATGTGCTTTGCTGCACCCCCAGATCTGGGGTTGCTTCATAATTAAACACAACTAGTACGAGGCCACAACGTGAATTCACCACTGACTGCCAGCAACTAAATTAAAACGTCTTTCTGAGAGCGATATGAAATGCATCACGGTTTGGCCTCGGTCTGCAGCTTGGCTGAGAGGAAGGGCAAGGAGATGGGATTGTTACTGGAGAATGAAACAAAGGGGGAAAAAAAGAGAATTAAAGGTACTCTGCAAAGGCAGAAAAATAATTGAGTTGCTGAATTTATGCTTCGCTCTGAATGAAGCAAGACAAATGAACACAACCACTTTTCTACTCCTAAAATGGGATTTTTTTTTTTTTCCCATTGCTTGATGGCTTACTTAAAAAAAAGCAGAGACATTAATGATTTAAGAGCAATCATAAAATCACAAGCTCCCTCTGCCTTGTACTGGCTGGGAGAGGCTGGCTGCCGCATGGTGACGACCCAGGCGGGATTTTTCCCTGCCTCCTCACCCATTCAATCAGTCCAACACCCAACAGCACCCAGCAGATTTACAGCTTTCCCCGAACGCAATTAGACAGACGCCCGCATGTGTGAGAAAGCGAAGCCAAGCAGCCTGCCCTGTGCCCTAGGCCTCTCCCACAGATATTTGGGCAAAAGCAGAGAAAACTAAAAATTCGGTAACTTCCCGCATGATGGAAAGCCAAAATTTGATGCTTTCCCACATCTGAGCATGATGAAAAGACAACACTGAGAGTAATAATTGCCCACTCTCTGTGGGCACTCTACGTCAGCCAAAATTTTTCTTAGTCCTTCTTCCTGCACAAGAAGAGCTGGTTGCTTGCCCCAGGTGCAAACACAAGTCTTGGGCTCTTGGATGATGAACATCAGCCAAGCTCCAATCCCCAGCCTTTGAGCCCTCGAGCTGCTCGTCATCACAGATGAGGCTGAAGTTGGATGCTAAGGAGGAGCGACACTGAGGAAAATTGGGCAAAACCCAAAGCTGGACTCGGGATGTGGATCATGGTCCCAACCTTCTCCCCAGCATCCCACAAGTTTTCCACCAAGGTGGTTTGCAGCTCCACGGCGAGGCACATGTCCTGTGCGGGACATGACAAATACCCAAGGACCAAAGATGGGACAGGTCAATATGTTCACTCTTCCCAAAGTTCAAGGCACTGACACCTCCCCACATCAACAGCACCAAGCTCTTCCTCCTTGGACCGGCAATTCAAGGACAATATTCTCACCCCAGATTTCTGCTGGCAGCTGCTGGGGATGAAGCTGTTTCTGGGCTGACAGCTCCTGGCAACACACATGGCCGTTTATAACTTAATTCCCTCCAAAACTTGACAGAATCAAATCCGATTTATATTTAAAACCTGGAAATCGTGAGCAGATGGGAAGAACGAGGTTCTTCATCTGAAGAGCATTTAACGGCATGCCAGAAAAATCACAACGCTTGCTCAAAAGCACTTGATATTCATCAAGGCTCAGCAATCCTTATTACCATCTCTGGTTTTTCTCCCCATCCTTCCCAATTAAGAGCATCATGTTGGCAGGTTAATGGGTAACGCAACAGGCAGCTCCTGTAATGGACTCTTGACATCCTGCGAGGCAGATGGAAGCAGTCGCCTCTATTACGGCACTTTCTCACCCCATTTCTGTGCCCATTACATTTCCTGGTGGCAGCACAGCAGAAGTCCGTTGCTTATCTGCATGTTTTGGAGAAAGCACTTTAGAAACGTGGGGCATCACAGCTAGGATGGGGCACAAACTGCTCACCCGTCTTGGTTTTTCATGTGGACCATCTGAGAGCTCAAGAGGAAAAGTCCGCCCTTTGAAAAATTAGCTCAACGCACCACGTATTTCCCCAACAGCTTCTGCTTTATTCAACCACTATTCTACCTTTCACTGCAAGTGGAAACACATAAAAAAATAAAATAATTTAATTCCCCTTTAGATAAACCCCTGTATCTGGAAAGCATCACCAAATACCTCCAGCAGCAAACCCAAGTTTATATCCAATGAGATAAAAAGAAAGCTTTCATTTGTGAGCCTTGAAAGGAATTTAAAAAAAGGATCAAATCAACCCTAAACCATCAAAGTTTTGTTAAAATAGTTCTAGAAAGATCTAAGAGAGATATTCACCTCCTTGCTAGCACAGTGTCAATAGTGTTGCAAAGCTGCAATCCAAAATTTCTCTCCGTATCAAGCATCTGTGATAGAGAGCTTAATTACCTGTGCTGGAAAGTTGCTTGGATCCTCAGGCATCGTTAATGGGAAATGGATTTCATGATGCATGGCAAATCCTGCTAAATTTACGATTATGGCTTATTTTGGTTAATATTTATGCTCTATTTGGAGAGAGGGCTGTAAAAACAAACGTAAAAGGATTCGCTGTGCTAACATATGCATGCCTTGCTTTTAGATGCTATTACTCGATCAATAATTAGATTTCAGGAGTGTGTTACGAGACAGCCAGCACCGCAGTTGTAAACTGTTCATTTTGCTAAGGATGCTCTAGAAAGCGCTTTTCCCACCCAAGACACAGATCTCAGGTGTAAATGGAGGGGGAAAAAATAACTAAAAATTAATTCTTTTCCTCCTCCAGCACAGCGAAAGAAGCCAAGAGGATGCCGACCGGATCCACCACGTACCTGTGGAAGCAGCAGGGAGCAAACGATGCCCAAAGTGGCCTCGAAGTTGTCTTTGAGCCAGAGCCCGACGGCGTGGATGCAGCCTCGCACGTGGATGACATTGAGCAGCTCCAGGCGCTGGAAGCAGAGTGAAGAGAAGCAACGCGGTTTTCACTGAGATGTTGAGTTTGGGGGAGATGCTATTTCTTAGAATCATCGAATCGTTTAGGTTGGAAAAGACCTTTAAGATCATCCAGTCCAACCACTAACCTAACGTTACCAAGTCCACACTAGGTTTGCTCTTGCGTTTGCTCCTTCTTGCAAGCCAAAGGAGAAGTGTTGTGTGAGAAGTGTTTGGGAACTGATTTCTTGGATCGGACCTTTCCCTGGGTTTTCTTGCCAAAAAAATGTCCCTGGGAGCTATGAACCATATGCACGGAGATACTGCAGCTCTCTGCTGCAATACAGCCCCACGGTCACCCCCGAAGGCCTCAGAATCAGCTTCTCTCCTACCACCAAGCCTCAAAACACAATTCAAGACCAGCATTTCCCGGGGCTGATCCAGGAGAGACCTCGTTGCTCTCAGAAAAGCCACGCCAAAGCTTGCAGGGACTACCCAAACCTGTCACGAGCCTGCCCGTGCTCTGCGAGCCTGAGCAACACCCTGGGATGCCAGGGAAAAGCAACAAAAATGAATTTATATACCGCTGCAGTAACAGCCGTCCTTGGTGGGGAAGAGCTTACCTGCGGATAACCAGTTCATTTTAGGGAGTTTGGGGAAGGAGAAGCAAATCTTGTACGTCCAAAGGAAAAAGCCAGCGTTACCTCTTTATCGAGTGTCCTGTATCCACACAGGGTGTTAATGACTTCTCCAGGGACCTGCAAACAGAGAATTGGTGAAGAGACTTAGCTCAGAGAAAGCCACAGGAGAAATATAAGAAATAAGAATAAAAAATAAAGAAATAGAAGAGCTCACCCAACTGCCTTGACCATTCAGTGTAGCAGCTACTCTCAAACCTTGCTGAGCCACTGCTGGCTCCTTTTTGCCCAAATGCAATGCTGAAACCATGCATGTCGGCAATAAGTTGTTGCATTTTTAAATTTTTTCTTTTAAAAAACCACTTTTCTCTCTGGTTTCTGCTGTTTCAGAGGATGCCTGGGTCCCCCTAACACTTTTCCAGCGATTTGAGCTGGGAACGTTTAGCAAAGCAGCTCTTTCAAAACATTCCCTTGATTTTCTCCTTGTTTAATTCCGGCCACCTTTTCTAACACCTTCAGTCATGTCTTCCTTCATAATAAAGGGAATTTCACAGGGAACTGGCTCTCCAGAAATCAAGCGGGAATTTCCCCAAAGTCTCCCAGCACTTTGGGAAGAAACATAAGGATTTTAGACATCCCCAAGTCTTAGATCTTTGTTGGCCAACAAAAACATTTCAAGAGCTACAGCTAATGAGAGAAATTCCTGCCAAATGCTGCTATTCAGGACCTATATAAAATAAAATCAAGCCTAATTCCTCTGCTTCTGTCAGGATGGAAAAGCGGTACATTTTGGGTTACAAAACTGATTCTTGCTCATCCCCAAAAAAGCAAAGCCGGAGAGTAGCTCCGGCACATCCTGAGCTAGTTGGGTACTTTGCACATCTCGGGATTGATCTTCTGATGGGGTTTTTTTGGCTTGCTTCATGGATCAAACAGCAGCTTCCATAACACCATGTATTTCTAAAGAGGCCCTGTGCCCATAAAATAATAACGTGCTGAAATTATTACGCTTTCAGAAAGATGGCTTTGACAACCAGTAAAAGCTCCTGGGCCACAAAACGAAAACATCCCGTGCTTCGGAGGCGCAGAGATGAAAAAGAAATGTGCACATTTAGGTGTAAATTATGCTTTCCTCTAAGACACAGCATAAAAGAAATGTGCACCTCCGGACAGACTCCAGAAATAAAGCTGCAGCTTGTTCCTCCTGTAATTGGCAGGGAAATTATTCCAGCGCTACCCTACCAAGAGCTTCTGTACCTACCACGGTTACTCACAGTGCTATCAAAAATCCCATCTCTCACCACTTCAAGACACTATTTACAAACTGGGCATAGTTAAGGAGACTAATTGGTCTCTGTGCGTATGAAAGAATTGCAGGGAGATCTGGAGATCAGCAGCAAAGCACCCATCAGGGTCGATGAGAGAGATCTCATCCAGGGTTGGGACCATGAAATGGGAAGCATAAGGGGAATTTGCAATGCTCTTAAGGTAAATGCTGTCACCTATAGTGGTATAAAGGAACCTGTACATGACCAAGGATCCATCTATTTGGTTTACATGAAAAAAGAAACGATTTTTCTTGACAGCTTTCAGTTGTCCTTGCTTTTCAGACTCACTTTTGTGGACATCACAGGACCCTTGCTGGTGGAACACCACTCCTTTCTATCGGGCTCATTGTTTGACTGCATCTCATTACAGAACAAATTCATCACTTTTCTTCCTTTTTGAGCTAAATAACCAAGGGTTTCTCAATCGTCTCCAGTCCTGCCTGCCTCTTTGGGTAATTCCCTCAATACCTTGTATTTGGGAGAAGCATGGAAGATAGAAAAGTGAGGTTTTAGCCTTGATCGACTTTTGTCAAGGTCTTGCATGGAAGAGAAGGTCAGAGCTAAATTGAAATTTCTAACATAAAACCAGGCAGAAGCCTTTATTCTTCCAGAATGCATTTTGATGCCTTCAGGGATCACAAAAGAGCAACCCACACAGACATTTAAAACCCACCGAGAGCAGAAGACTGCAATCCTTGCACTTTTTATTTAACCAACTGCTTTTGTCCCCAAAATCAGTGCCAAATGTCAGCGGCGACACTTCACAAGGGGTTCAGAGACACTGCACTTGGCAGAGGCACAGCTACGCTGTGGCTTCCTAGGAAAAGACACAAATGCCTTGGAAAACCATTTAGAAAAGCACTTAGAGATGAGGAACCAGTCTTACACCCTCAAGTAAGTGCATATTAGCCCATTCCTTCTTGCTGGGAAGACTTGAAGGTCTACAACCTTGGAGATGAGGCTCTTCCAAAGAGCCAGAGCATTTTTGGAAAATGTCTGCTCTCATTACCACAACTCAGCCTGCCCTGGAAAATACCCCAGGGATGCAACATAAAGCTCTCGGAGGGTCTTGTAATAGAAAAAGTCTTTTCTTGGAAAAGAAGATGGATTTATGGCTGTATTTAATGACAAGTTGAAAACACGTTGCAATCAATCCCCTATCCATGTTTCATGCTCCTTCCTTCAGACAAGCTCGCTTCTATCAGCAGCTTTTGTTCTTCCCACAATATTACATTTTCAAACGACGTCTTCTGGTATCTCTCTACTTAAATCTCAATGGTCCTCTAAGACAAAAGGGTGTTTTGCTCTCCATCTTTCATTCACAAAGGCACAAATAGAGAAGGACACAAGAAGAGAAGAGTTTCTTGCCCTACAAACCATTGGATTTATTAACTGGTTGATGAAAAGGTTATTCACAGCAGAGAGACCACAGTGTTCATCTCTACCCAACACAGAAGAATTCATACACGTGCCTGGGTGGTCCCTGGTTATCCCTCCAGCTGCAGGGCCAACACAAGATGTTTTTTTCAGCCCTCAGGTTAACATATTTTGGTGGAAATGGTTTTCAGCGGGGCTTGCACGTTGCTAAGACCCAACCAGCTATGTCCAGAGGATCACACACAGGTCCCTTCTTCGTCCTGAGGTGCAGAGGTGCTTCTCCCACCTTCTCAGCCTGCAAGGAAAACCCCCACGACAACTCTGCAATTTCAGCAAATAGCTACAAATAAACATGCTGGAGCTTACGGTAAATGCAATTACGGGGGGTTTCACTCTCTTGTTTAAACTAAGTTTTTATTAGCTTGTTTTATGTCGCAGACAGCAGAAAACTCCCAAGGGAGCTGGCTCTCTTAATCCATTTCATGTACTATTGATATTGCATCAGGATGATTTCTTAACCAAAAGTGCCCTGCAGTGCCAAATATCAAATCTCTGAAGAACAAGGCTACATCTATCTACCTGGTTACTCTCCTCCCCAAGAACAGGTTTCATTTCTCATGGAGATTTAGATGCATTTGGTGAGGTCTCGCTTCCCATAAAACCACTCTGGCTGTCAGAGTCACATTCATGGGCTTTAATTCTTGAAAATAATGTAGACTATTTACTGTGGACTTCCCCTCCCAGGGGCTGGCTGCTCCAGTTCTTCACTAGAGCATCCTCCAGACCCAGCTCATTGCAATGGGAAGCCAAAAAGTTGTGTTATTTCTTGCCCTACTTTATTAATCATCTGTGATTTCTTATCTCTCCTATACCGCCTGCTGTGCTGAGGTCTTTTGTTTGCCAAATTGTCACCCAAAACCGTGGGGAGTGTAAAAATACTGAAGAATGCGCTTGACTCTCTCCAACACATCCTCACTCGTAATACAAAAGGACAACACATGAATTTCTAATTCCATCTTCAGGAGCTTTAGGATTCTTAATCAACGCCCTGATTAGAGACAACAATTATTTTTGCTGCTGATTTGCATGTCAGACTTCCACTGATGATTCAGACACTGCAGATTTCCCTCTTTTTCCATTAAAAATCTAACAACAATACTAGATTGATGATATACTTCCCTTGTGCAATTCATAAAGCCTGGGGCACGGCCAGGGTTCAGAGGCAACGCTGACACTCCGGATGCTCTGAACCTCGAGCAGGTTTTGCTACCAGGATTATGCTTAGCGAATCCTTTTTAGCAACGTTTATAACATTTCTGGCCACAGCAAGCACGGATATTTGCACTTTTTTTTCCCCTGCCTTGGCCCAGCTCCTGGCATTTTATCCACAGCATGTGTCAGATTGATTGCAACGAGGCGGACGGTTGTATTAAACAAGACGGTGCCAGAGCACTTAGCTTAGTCTCAGCAGAAAAGCGCTGCTTGCAGGTGGGGTGTCTTGATTTTCAGCTCTGAAAATCAGCACATGAGACCCTAATGGCTCTGCAAATCCACTCCCCCCTCTCTCCATCTCCGTTCGACCCAACTCGCAGCGTGTCGGAAATGCAGCCTTGCAAGGGCAGTTGCTCACGAGACTTTTCTTACTCCATTGCACAAGGGTGGGTCTTTATCCAAATACCTCTCCTGACCCCATTTGCAGCAAAACCTTCAAAAAACTCCTCATTAGGAGCAGATGCCAGCAAACATGATCCCCATATACCGCTAAACCCCACAGCGTCCAGATGAGAAACGTCCTCTTGGACAACAGCTCATTCGGGTCCATGCTGAGACGTGGCCAAGTACTTTTAAAATGCTGCTATTTCTTTGCAAAACAATCCTCCAACCCATTTTACATCACACATGAGGTCGACAAACAGGAACTCGGCATTTCTAACAGCTCCTCGGCATGATACGAATGCAATTAATAGCCCAGTGTTTGGTAGTTATTCCACGTCAAAACCACAGAGCCTACTAAAATACAGTGTAGCCCCTATATATATTTTTTAGTTTCTTTAGCGTCTCATGCTGATGCTGTCTCAAACTGCCTTGCAAGATGGCAATGCAGTTTACAAGAAACCCTATAGCCCAGAAATATGCAGTAATAACCAGCTGGAAGAGGGTGGTTTGCTGAAATATCGACTGAAATAAAGGCACTTTCCGTGCCTCGGCTGCCTTACCTTCCTGACACAGCACGTGTAGGGCACCCCACACGCCAGCGGCCCGCTGCCGTTGCAGGAGTGGTACTGGTTAACCTCCCAGTCTCGGTACTCATCGCCGCCGCAGCAAGAAAACTGCAAAAAGAAGAAAAGGAGAGGATGAGATGTGCAGCTGAACAAACCTCGGCATCTCCAGCCCCCCAGTGCAGCTCCCTTCCAGCCTTGCCCTGCGTCTCCAACGCTGCTTTGCAACACCAGCATGGAGAGCCCTGACTATTTTCTGCTTCCCAGGACCCTAAATAGGAAGCTGAAGACACCATGTAAAAAAAGAAAAGTGGGTGTTTAGCCCCATTTAGCCCCATTCGAGAGGCGTGCAGCAGCTACAGAGGCGCACACACGTGTATTGGAGGCATCCTTGCTTTCCCAAGCCCAGGAAAGATCAGGCTCATTCATGCTCCACTGATTTAATTACAGGTGACTAATCCACTCTATTCCCAGGGCACGCAGGAGAGATGGCTCTTCCAGCACCTTGAATGAATGTATTTCTTGGCTCTTGAAGGCGGCTCAGCTAGTTGGTGCCATTCGACAAAATGCTAATAAGGCTCCGCAGTCTAACAGGGATTTCTCTTCCCATCAAGTTAAATTAGAGATCAAATGCTACAGCTACAAAAGAAAAAAGCTTCTTTTTTCTTCTGTTTGCACAATGAAAAAAAAAAAAAGTTTAATGAAAGTCATTTTCTGTTCTCCGCAGAATAAAAGTGGGTTTATTATATAGAGTCATCCCTTCTCTTGGTAAACAAGCTTGAATCTTTACATTTTTCCCCTGGAAAGAAAAGCCTGAAGCGGGCAGGAGAGGTGTGTGTGCTTGAAAAGACAAAACCCCCAGGTTTTCCCCATTTCTTTAAGCACCACACTCTTCAAAGAGCAGTTTTCAGGAGAGGTTTAACCCTGTGAGCCTCTGCTCCCCCTCCTGCTGACAGCAATACTTGGCCAACAGGAGTAGGAAAAGACATCAGCTCTTGGGGTCTTCCTGGCCTCCTCCCATGCCCCAATAGGCAGATATGGCCAGGAGCAGCCAACCCACAGATTCACCACTACTTTCTAACTTCCTACCTTTAATTCCTTTGCTGCTTTTAACCCTACCCGTATCAGTGAGGGAGACCCACTTGCAAAAGTTGCCTGGAAAGAGGGGGAGAAAAACACCTGAAGGGATATTGGCTCTTGCTACCTGTTTGCCATCCCCGTGCTGCGAAGAAGTTTCTTCCATTTGCTTTTATAACCGTGCAAAAATTGGTACAAAAGCCTTGTAACGAGGCTTACTAACTCCTGGGAAGCCTCACCGGGGTGCTTTCTTCTCTGCAAAGAGATGTTTAGCCCAAACTACTGTTGTGCCTGGATTTATCTCTCATAAGCTGAGACAGACTTCGGCATGGGTTTTACTTTCATGCGGGCTCCCGGCGCTCAGAGAAGCCTAACAAGCACAAAAACCAAAGAGAGCCCATGGAAAGAGCCTTGCAGGTTGCATTTGAGGAGCTCTCCATGTTGAGGACCGCCGCCGCCACTCGCGAGATGCGGGCTCATTATGGCTAAAACCATCGCCCCCGAAGCAACACAAATGAGCCACGCGGGTGAAAGCTGCCTTTAATCTTCCCCAAGAAGAAAGGAGAAGGTTTGCAAGCGCAACACCCTCATCCCTCCAAGCCTTACTTTGAGTTTGGAGCCACTCGGGTTTGAACAAGAACCGCAGCCCCGGCAGCTCTTTGAAATTCAAATCCTGTGCTCAGCAAAGTGGTTTGAACTCTCCTCTTCCACCTGTACTCAGCAAACCATTAAAAAAAGATAAAGCGAGGAGTGGCAGAGAGCTGCAGTTAGTGACTTGGGGCAAACGTGGGCTTCTGAGTCATCGCTGTGTCCAGCCTCACGTCCGAGGGCTGCAAAGGGCAGTAGTTCAGCAAAAAGGAGTGATAAAAACATAAGTGTTATTTTCTTTAGGGCGATTTATTTCCATATCTCCTTGCTCATAGGCAGCCAGACCAAGTAGCTGTCAACAGGTAAAACCGCATTATTTGCACCATCATCCTGGTAATGTAAAATATTAACGTCTGGCACTTTGGACTGTAATTACTTGTTATTTTTACTGTATGATCCTGGTTTAAGTGTGTGAAGGCAGTTGGCTTTAGTTTAAAGCATCACTTGAGAGAGGGTTTAAGTGAAATTCAAATCCTAAGGAGCGTACTGTGCTTTTGCCCAACCTAAATAAGGCGTGTGCCAGCTAACCTATGCATAGACAAGGTTTTTAATAAGGAAAATGGCAAGAATAATCACTAAATGATGATAACAGGCTGCTCTGAGCTTGCGCTTTATCAAAAAAGGAGGTCTGGGTGCAATCCTTCCAGACTGACTGCAAGTTTTCATCCTCTCAAAGTGAACCGGGCTGCTCAGGTCCCTTAAAACCAATTTCCCTTCTCTTAAAAGCAGTTATTCCTCTCATCGCTTCTCCCCGGTCCTACCCTCAGGATGAAGTAACTCTGCACTTCAATACTGACATTGCTGCTGTTCCTGGTTTGGAAATAACACGCTAATATAAAAGTCCACAGCAATGAGCTGCACGTTCTTGCAAATCTCCTTCTCTTGCTGCAAGATAAAATGTGCAGATGTTAAAGACTTATCAGCAACACTATAAGTGGCCGCAACCTCTTTTAGTACAGAGAGAGATTTTGAGATGAAGGTCTTCCCCTCAAAACTTTCAATAAGAAGTCAAGCTAAGAAGTAGACGGGAAAAATGTAAACACGGGGTGAGATTATATGATACGTGCCTGATCCTCTCTTGTTTGGAGATACAGAAACCTTCCTGCAAATACATCTGCTTTATCTGGAGATTTGTGGTCTAACCTCCTTGCCAAGGCTCACTGAGGATGGCTTCAACATGGACTTTCCGACTGCTCGTGGCAGCATCCATTTATCATTCATACAAGGGGTCTGAATTACAGCATCCTCTTAGGGAGGTCAGAGTAAAACTTGAAAAAGATTCAGATCTTTCCCAAAATCAGTTGTGTCTTGAGACCTTCAGAGGGCTCCCAGTCTTATTAAAGCGCTCGGCTGAGTAACGATGACTCCAAGAGTCAAAAGCAGATACTTAAGAGAGGGGAGCGTGGAGGGCACCACTAGCCTTAAATTCCAGCTACATCAAAGAAGAAGGAGCTTCACAGACTCCTTTTCTTCAAAGCAAGAGGTAAGATTCACATACTTATGATACTCCAACCCATAATGAAAGGAGAGAAATCAGGCCGAGATGAGAACATTCAAAGTTCATCTGAAAGCAGCTTTGCTGGCAAAGCCCGGCTCTGCTCTCCAAAACCAACCCAGGAGACATAACATCACTGTGATTTCTCTCCTAGATCTCAAGTTTTGGGGGTTTTTTCTACTTTTTTTTTCATTCGCCAAATGCTTCGAGCCAATTGCTTCCCTCCTGCAATAACACAAATAATGGGTAAACCAAAGATCCTCACTCAGAACGTGAGCAAAACTACCTCTCCCAAATTCCCAGGAATCACTTCTCACCGGTGCTGGAAAACCAAATGATACATTAGAGCCAACCAAGCTTGTCCAGACTGGCCACACACTTAACGGCACGGATAATAACTTCAAATCCTGACTTTACTTGGCTTTTTGATGTACCTGGGGGGGTGCATGGATGGACTGGATGATCTTAAAGGTCTTTTCCAACCTAAATGATTCTATGATTCTATGATTCTATGAAGCGCGGCTACCTTGGGTTTTGAAAGACAAAAGGGAAACACATCTAGCCAGGGCTCAATGGCAGGAATTAGGAAGGCATTTTAATTTAATACTTAATTTAATATTTAGTACCTCAAACAAACCACAGGTACATAAAATACAGGGCAAGAGCAGCAGCGTACCAAAAGTTTGGTTAAAAAAAACCAAAAGAGTTGTGACGATGGTTTTATCGACCTGCAGCTTGGCTTGAGGACAGGGGATGGATCCTGCCAACTCCTGGCAGGCTCTAAGCATTAGGTATGAGACAGAATAGGCAACCACACACCTAAAATGTTAAAGCAGACTATGCCAAGCCCCAATATCAGACCGGACATAGCTCTCACCAGTCCCAGGAGCAGCTCGCGCCCAGGGCTGCCCATGGAGAGGCTGGAGCTCTCCTCTCCTTCCAGCTACCGCGTGAGAACACCTTATCTGCAATTTTCCTGTTGAGCCAAGAGCTTGGCCAGCTACTGATGACACTTTGAGGAAAGAGACTTACCTAAGATGGCCTATCTAAGGGTCGTTGCAGCCCTGAAGCAGCTTTAGCACAAGTCATTTTATTCCTCCATCTCTCTCTATGCAGGTTGGGGTAGCTATCAAAAAGCTTTCCGGCATTAGGCACTGGTTTTCCATCCAGATTGGAAAATATAAATATCCTGGTACGGTCCACGCCGTGGTGTGGGGCAGAAGATGCTCTTTGCAGGGCACACAGATGGCAGAATAACTCACCAAAACCCCCGCAGGGTGGGCTTGGAGAGCAGCACAACGCAAAACCATCCAAGAAGAGCAGTGCAAACCAGGAAAAATCAAGATATTCAAGACAGATCAAACAAGGCACCCTAGGGATGGGAATAAACTCTAAAAATACAGGGAAAACTAATGCTTCCGCTTCAATGAGGCATGGAGTTAACCACTCCTTGAAAAACTTCACAACCAGACCTCCCCGATGCCACCCCCCTCCAAACCCGAACCTTTTCTTGTACAAAATCCAAGATGTTCTTGAAGTCAAGGTCATCGTAATAGTGTCTGATGCCCTCTTGGATGTTGGAGTGGAAAACTGCATTCATCTGGGGACAGAAACAAACAAAACCACGGCTCACAAGTGGAAAAGGCGCTGAGAAAATATTGCAAAACATGCAAATTTTTTCCTAGCAAGCATTGTCAGCCGTTAACGGAGTAAGAATTTAACCCGCATGCTGGCACAAGCCTATTTCTTGGGGCAAAATTCATCATTTTTGAGCTCTCAGGGTTAGCAGCATCATTTCTGAGCTCTCAGGGTTAGCAGCATCCCATAGCACCTCTCCGTTTCCTGCACATGCGAGCAGACCTGCGCACCTTTACCCACCCAATTTTTCCTATTAAATTTATTTTTTAAGGTGACTTCTTCAAAAGCTCCCTCAAGCTCTCTGATCCCACCGACTAACAGGATTTTAAGCACTGGTGGGGGGGTTCTGCTGCATTAGGAGGGGCTGGAGGAGGCGAAATGGGCTGTGACAGCCAACACTGCCGGCTGCACGGCGATTTATCCGCGGGATAAGCTACGTGCAGGAGCAGAGACCTCATCAGAGCCCTCGATCACTCCTAATGCCAACAAATCATTCAGCAATTCAATCATGCCGTGAAAGGGAACGGTGCAGGCGGGCTGGGGCTCTCCCTGCTGCTCCTTCAGCCGTATTTCCGAGGACACTTTGACACATCAGGCACTTCACATTAAACGCTAATTGAATTGAAAATGTATTTTACAGACGCCTGGGAAGCTTATTAGTGAGCTGGGAGCGGAGGCTCGAAATGTCCTATGCGAAGCCCAGCGCAGGTTTGTCGTTTGACTCCTAACAAACCGCCAAGCAGAAATATTAATGAGGGAAAAGGAACTTTTTTCTGAGTTAGAAGCAAGGGAAAGGGGGGGAAGAAAATGCTGTTTTTCATAATTCACTCTGACATGAAAATTAGAGGTTGGGCAAACCGGGAACGGGGAGAAGAACGTGGAAAAAAAGAGAAATGAAGGCACGTCAGCGCAGCAAACAAAGCCTGCCGACAGTGAGGGATCAGGCAAGGGGACCTGAAAAAACCTTTTAAGAAATCGCTCATGCGGAAGTTTATTAAAATGTTAATTCCCGGTTTGCCCACCGCTAAGACCAACACAACGGGCAACACCCGGGGTTTACCGTTTTCTGCTTGTTTTCCCCCAGATAGGCTCATCCCATGATCCTATTGCCCTCTGAGAAGATGCCAGCCTGGAGGCAGCCTCTGTAATTAAATCTTGATTTTAAGGTGGGAGATAAATGTCGCAGAGTTAAATCATTAAGTTCTGGTTATGAGACCTCTCTACTCCCTTCCTTTCAAGGACGCCAAACCCGTTATCTCCGATAATCTCCAAAACCCTATTTGCATATCAACAGAGCGCATTTCAATGTTCAGTAGCTCCGAGGCCACTAAATTAATTCTTCGTCCTTGCTTATTTAATACAAAATCCAATTAAATATGTTTTTAACAAGTTTAATAAACAACCATTGTTCCAAATGCAGATTTATGCCTCCGAACAATTTTAGGTCAAGTGGATTCATCGCTTGTCGGAACTCTCTTTTCTCTCTCCCTCATTGTTTGATTTTTAATTAGGTTTTTGATATTGCCCGTTAAATTTAAATTAAGGGACAATTTAGGCACTAATAGTTTCTACTCAGTCCAGGAGTTTAATCACGAGGCTGCAATCCCCTCTCCTGATGGTACCAGTGTTTCCCCCTTGCATCCCTGCAGTGCAGGATGGTGCTGAGCACCATCACTGAGGCTCAAAGGTGGAGCAAAGAGAAGGATTTCATGTTGAATCTCACAAAAATACAGCCTCTACGTGGCAGCACGTATTGATTTTTCTGTACATGGGAAGGACTCAAGCAATCTGATTTTCCTTGGAGAAGCACACCTCTCCACCGGTGCACCGCGTTTTTCAGGGATCAGAGGGTTTCGGAGAGCTCTGGGAAGCTGCTGGATGGAGTTGACTGCAGCATCCAAAAGGCAACGTCTTCCCCCATGGCCTCCCTTCAACTTTGGGGCTCACCAAGCACATAACTCCCAGCCCCAGCCTTGATGGGTTTGAAAGCAACAAGCTCTTTGTGCAAAGACGAATTGATTTTTATAGCCCATAAGTAGGTATCTCAGGTGCTGTTCTCCTGCCTTGTGCGTTCACTGAGCCAGCAGAGATCGAGATTATCTATTTAATCATTTGATCGATTGCAAGGGTAAGATTAAATTGAAAATGGCAGGGTTTCTTCAACAGAAGGCAGGCGGCCAGAAAGGACATCCGTTGGAAGCATTTACCATCTCGCCGGCTCAGCTATAACTCAAACCTGTCCTTGCAAATGCAAGCCAGCAGTTAACGTAATTGAGGCGAGGAGCTTAATGAGTCCTCAAGAGAAAAAAATCCCAACGGGTTTTTGGCTGAGAGTCTACAGAGGGAGCTGCGGCGAGCGCTCTGGGTGGTGCTGGAGATCCACCGCAGCTCCGGAGCACGACGGGCAGCCCCAGAGGAGCAAGAGCAATGCAAACCTTCCATTCTCAGGGCGGACGTTAGCAGATACTGGAGGATTTTCCTCCCTGATGACGCGCGGGGCTGCGGTTTGTTGCCGTGCAGCGTCCAAAGGCCTCCTGATTGCACCCACCTTGTTTTCAAAGATGATTTCGATGAATATCAGCAGCAGCTCCGTGAGGAAGATCGCCAGAAGGACCCAGAAGAACTGAAAAGAGAAAGGGAAGGATTAGCCCTGCTCCAAGTCAGGCTGCGTCGTCTGCCAGTGGTTAACCGCAACAAGGGAGACCTGGAAACTGAGAGCTGCTTTGAAACACTTAGAAATCAGATCATTTCATTACGAGCTCCCCAGGGAGCTGCAAATCTCTTCCAGAGATCTCAGTCCTAGCAAGGAAAGCAGTTTGCTCCCTTGTAGAAAGTGTGGCAGGAAGGAAGGAAGGAAGGAAGGATTGAAAAAAGAAACCAGATGCAATTTGAGGGGCCAAATTCTGCACAGGGAAACGGGTAAAACGGACGCAGTGGGAGCAAATGTTATCTCCAGGTAGATGTAAGCGTGCAGCATCCCTCTGTGACGGGATGCTGGCGCTTGGTTGAACACCGACGTTTCCAAGCTGAGCATCCAATGGAGGATCATCCGTCCCCCAGATACGGGCAATAACTCATGCCTCTGCCAGAATCGACCGCGGCAACAAATTTAGGCTGGAAATCAATGTCCTGATGGAGCAACCGACTTAAACTAGAAGGTCTGATGTTCTTGCAGCACACACCCATCAGTCTCCTAATGCTTTGGTCCCTATCTGAGAGGTCCCATCGGGCATCGCATCCGACTTTGCGGAGGATGGAGAGCAAAGCTCTGCTCAGCTCACACTCGTCTCCCCAAGGCTACCTCCCTCAGCGGCTTTAGAGACTCGCCAGAAAAAGGAAGGTGGAAAGTTACCATGGTAACTAGCTAAAAATCCAAAAGCAAGTTAAAAAAAAAAAAGGAGGGGAGAGGTAATTTATTACCATGATATTCACTTTGACCATTGGTTTATTAGATAAACCATAGGTTTATTAGCTAGCGCAGGGACCTGCACACCCAGAAATTATTTCCCGAGCTTGCCAAAACCAAAGCGCCACTGCAGCAAAACATCACTTCATGCCCCAAACCATTGAGGTTTTTAATTAGCCACCCATCAATGAGTTTTGCACCGTGCTTATTAGCGAAGAGCCAGCTAGCGTGGTCCCACTGGAGGACCAGCACCTCTTTCATCAGCAGCTAAATCAGCTCATAACGGGCCAGGTATAATTAGGCAAGGAATCCCGTAATTAAGGAATACAATTAGCCAAGCACCTGCTATCTCGTAGGCAGAGATGACACGCAAAGTGCCGCAGGCATCTAAACTGACATAAAACGGGGTTGCTCCGGGAGGAAGCCCAAGGCGGCACGGTTCATGGTTTCACCAAGCTGGGCATGTCTACATCTTGCAATGCTGCAGCAAGGAGCAAGAAAGAGAAATTCAATTTTGGAAACATTTTTGTTCTTCAACCTGAGTTAAAACCCAAGAAAAAAATGAATTAATGCTTTGTCCTCTGTTTGCTGGGAAAAAGTGCAAATTCTTACCAATCCTATTGCGAGCAGAGACAAAAGAGCGTGGCTTCAAAGTCCAAGTGGGGACCACCGCTGTGTTCACGGTCAGACCAGCGCACCAAGAAACACCTAAAAATCAGCAGGATGCGGCACGTAGAGCCTTTCTTCCTGCCAAACTGATGGGAGGCCCCTCCGAAAGCACCAACCCTGCAGCTCTTCCCAGAAACAGAGAATTTTAACCCAAGAGACCCCTCGTGCAGATGGTTTTTCTGCTCTTTCTAGTGCTTTGGCCATTGCACACCACGCACCGATTTTGTCCCCCGCTCTATTTCCTTCTTTTGGTCTCAATTTCTGCCGTACAGCTTGTCAAGCCAAGATATAAAAGGCAAGGTTTATGCAATACCACTCAGCCTGCTCCGTGCATACTGAAATCAAGGCTAATATTTAATATCCAGGTTTGATATCTGATTCCTAAACAAACGCGGGCGTATTGTGCAGAAGTCCATGGGATGCCGGCTGTACCTGGCTATTAGAAAAATGATGACTGAATGTGGCTTTCAAATGCTCCGTATCAGCTGAGGTTCACAGGTAGCAAAACCCACCGCTTCCAAGAGAGCAGGCTCAAAAAAGAGCTTCGCTTCTGGTCTTTATAAATGGGGGGAAGGTGCCAGTATTAATGGGGAAGAAAGACAGGGCAAATGCTCATTGCAATTCCTTGCAAGAGGGAAACTGCAAAGCTGGGAAGTCACGCAGGCGATGCCCCGCTCCCCCCGGGCACCCCACAATCCATAACCTCGCCTTCAGAAAGCCCACAGTTTCCCTTATAATTTACAGAGGATTTGCAAGAAAAGCAACCACGAACCCAGGTCTCCAGCGCAAACCTTGCAAATGTGCAGCCCGAGCGCAAACCAGCTCTTCTTCCCCCTAAAAACAGCCAAACGGAGCACGCAAACCCTCGCCGGCTGCACGGACGTAGCAGAAAGTGGCACTTTTTTTGCATTCACAAGGATTGCAGCAACCACCGGTAACTGTAATGCACTTTTAGGGGGGAAACTGCTGTCAGCATCCACGATCATCCCCTTTAACTAGTGCATTGCAGCCCTTGCTGTCTGCCAGACCGGGCACGAATAAATCAGCATTTTGTACCTTAAAAAGACTCCAGCAGCAAAATAAAGAGCAAAAATCCACATTAAACAGCATTTAATCCTGCCTTGATCTGCTGTAAGTTTGAAGCAAGTTCAAAATCACAAAGCAAGTAAAAAAAAAAAAAAAAAAAATCACAAAGCAGCATGGCAAGGAGCTGGTTTTTTCCCCAATTTTTGCAAAAATTGACCCTTTGCATGGAAGTGGTGGCACACGAGCGAGTGGCCGTGCCTCCGCGGGGTGACCGTCCTGCCGGGGCTTCGGCGCTCGCGTCCCCGAGAGGAGGCAAACGCTGCGGAGGAGGGACTGGGGAGGTGCCCGAGGATCTCACCCATCGCAAAGCGCAAAGCAAAGCCCAGATTTAACAGAGACAAACTCCTCAACAAAACCTTCACCTTGCTCAAGACGGCTGGATCGGGGAAAAGTTGCTCAGTTCTTATTAAATTAACACTCGCCGCAGCCTTTCAAGAGCTCATCAGTCCAAAAGTCCACAATAAATGGCACTGCTTTCCCTCAAACACCTCGACAAAACGATGAATCCCCCCCGTTCCCATGACCAGCGGAGCTCCGAGCTGCTCCTTCCCTCCCCTGACCAGTGTCCAGCACCGTTTTGTTCGTCGTCAATCCCTCCCGAAGCCCAGCCGAGCGCAGGAGGCAAGCGCCCCGGGACTGTGCCCTGCCTCCGGTTTAAAGAGGGGTCCCCTTCCAGTTCGGGAACGACCCCCTCATCGGCGTCATTTTACATAAGCAATGTATAGGCTGCCTGGAGCCATCCCTTCCCATACGTCCTCTGGGTGTTTGGGTTTCTGCCACCTCCGTACACCAGATAGGATGTCTTGCTGTCAAGTTTAATCTCCCAGAAGCTGAAAAAACGCTTGAAATACTGAGTTGCTCCACAGTAAACGCTTCCAGCCCGTGGGTCTGGCTGACAGAGGGGTGCAAACCTGCTGCTGCTTCATTTCCAGACCACGAGCAGCATGCAGCCAATTTCCCATTTCCAGCTCGAACGCAGAAAGGATGAACACGGGTCAGGGATGGGGCTGGAGCTGAGGGATGAATAAACCACGGAGGAATTTATTCAGGAGCCAGCCCAGGGAAGGAGCCTTGAGCCACGGATAGAGGCTGAGCATCACTGCTGAGCTCAGATGCACTCGAGACACCTACGGCAACGGGAGGCTCCGTCATGCCAAGCCCAGCTGTGACTCCAACGGGATTTTGGATGGGAGAGGGATGCTCTGTTTGCCAGGGATGAGGCAGGGAAAGGAGGAGACGCAGCCGGTAGGATGGAGGAGCTCCTGGAACAACGTGAAAGCACCAGAAAGATTTGTGATGTTTATTTAATATGAGCAATCTCCACCTGCGAAACGCTGCTGCAATCTCACAGCGTGGCGGGGGAGAGCGACCGGCTGGCACAACTGCAGGGGGAAAAAAGTTTAAAAAAAGAAAATCTCCAAAATCCTTCCTTTCTACCTGGCGCCAGGAGTTTCCCATGCGGCACCTGGGGGCTGATAAAGGGAAATATTTGCTTCTTGATGATCCGTTTCCTACTTCAGCTTAGGCACAGGAAAGGACAACATAATAAGAGCGATAACAAGGATAATTTCTAGAGGGCCCATGATACAAGCCAAAAAGAAAAGAAATAACCTATAAACAGATTCCAGAGTACTTTGCAGCAGGACACTGGGAAAGCTGAGGCTGAAGATGCTGCCCTTGAATCCTTCCGCGCTCTTGATGAACTTAACATTAGAATAGTACAGGCAGATCATAAGCAGCTGCCTAATTTAAGAAATCGAGTGGGTTTTTTGCTGAGAAAAAAGTTACTGGTCATACTTAAAAGAAAAGACTCTACAAGCCCCATATATTGAGACCCTACAGAAGCGAATAGAGGAGGAATAGAGGGGTTTGAGCCCCTTCTGTGAAGGGTGGAGGTAATTTTATCCTCGTTCCAGGCTCTACAGTCACCATTAAACCCCTGTGGGAACAGGTACATCCTGCATTCATGCAGACAACCCCCCAATATTTTATTTTTATCCATTTCTATGGCTGCTTCTCCAGCGAAGGAGCTAAGTCGGCCCCACTGAAGCCAATGCAAGAAAAGGGTTTGGACCTATTAATATAAAAGCAGCGACAGGTCATCAAGGGATGGAAAATCTGAATTTCCCATCCCCAAGATGAAAAGAAAACTCGTGCAATTTGATTTCTCTTCCTATAAAGCACAAATCCCCCCAGTTTTGCATGCACAGAGTTTACAGGGTGGTGGTCCCCGGGTTTTGCCATATTTTTGGGCATCCGGAGAGGGAACTGGTCATTCCCTCTTGATGCACGGGAACAGATTGAACGTGCAGCCACGTGAAACACCCCCGATGCAGAGGCGTGCGATAAATACATCTTTCACTCTACCTGGGAGGCCACTAAATCACATGGAGAAGGTAAATAACTCCAGAGATGTCCACAAATAATCCACGCTTGGAGGATGAGCAAGCGCCTGCCGCCTC